GGTTGAGAGATGAGAGAGAGATGAGAGAGAGTAAGAGAGGACGAGAGAGAGATTGAGAGAGAGAGAGATGAGAGGAGAGAGAAGCAGAGGGCAGATAGAGAGAGCAGAGAGATAGAGAGAGAGCAGGAGAGTAGAGAGAGAGAGAGAGAGAGAGAGAAGAGAAGATGAGAGAGAGAGAGAGAGAGCGAGAAGAGAGAGAGCAGACTGAGAGAGCAGAGAAGCGAGAAAGAGAAGAGCAGAGAAGAGAGAGTAGAGAGCAGAGAGAAGAGAGGAGCAGAGATGAGAGGAGAGCAGAGAGAGAGAGAGTAGAGAGAGAGAAGAGAGAAGAGGAGAAGAGGGTAGAGAGAGAGAGAGAGAGAGAGAAAGAGAGAAGCAGAGTAGAGTAGGAGAGAGAGAGAGAGAGAGCAGAGATGAAAGAGAGAGAGAGGAGGTGAGCAGAGAGGAGAGAGAGAGGTGAGAGTGAGATGAGAGAGAGATGTTAGAGAGACAGAGCAGAGAGAGAGCAGACAGAGAGGAGAAGAGAGATGTGGAGTAGAGACGAGAGAGTAGAGAGATGCAGAGTATGGGAGATGAATGAGAGCAGAGTAGAGAGAGAGAGAGAGAGAGAGAGAGAGAGAGAGATAGAGAGAGAGTCAGAGCATAGAGAGAGAGAGAGAGAGATGAGAGAGAGAAGAGAGAGAGAGAGAGGATGAGCCAGAGAGATAGAGGAGAGGAGCAGCAGAGAGGAGAGAGACAGAGAGAGAGCACGCTTGCTGCCTGCGCGTAGAGGAGATGGAGAGGAGAGAGTTAGCAGAGAGAGAGAGAGAGAGCAGAGAGAGAGAGAGAGAGAGAGAGAGAGAGAGAGAGAGAATTGCTTCCCGCTTTCACCTATACGTATATTTCCCTCCTCTGCATCTAGCAATGTCCGAGCGCGGCCTCACGTCCGCCGCTGTCAGGAAAGACAAACAAATGAACAGTCATTTGATAGCGTTGTTGACCGGCGCTCCATTGAGCGAACAGGAAGGTATACTTACATACTGCGGCGTGCTCTGGTGGTTGGTCTCGGCTCTCTCTCTCGCTCATTTGTGGCTGTTGGCTGTGATTTCAATATCACTAGTCTTCCTATTAGCTATCCAGAGTTTCCCCTGGCCAAAAAGGTCTGTGAGGTTATAAATATTTTTTAGTGTGTTTGGGAATTTCGAGGTCCTAGCAAAGTGAGCCCTGCAAGTGCTAGGGGAAAAAATGGTGCAATTCGGTGCGTTCTAAGCTTTTTTGGTGCATTATAAGTACTGTTCTATATAGACGAACAGTGATTTTCGTCAGCGAGGCAGCGTTTTGGACAAATTTCTGTGTGGCGGCTGAGAATTTGAACGAGGCGGCTCGCCTCGCTCGTGTCAATGCGGGGGAAACACTGCCCACCCGTGATTATGACCTCTTACTTCCTCGTTCACTCATGCTTTCGTAGTTTTTACGTCGCGACGCATGTCAGTAGCGTTCCTGGAAACAAGTGAGCGTGCTCGTTGCACGGGTCGCAATGTAGCGGCTAATCGTAGGAAGGCTGCGGACTTAAATTACGGATTTGTCGGTCGTACAGTAGAAACAGAGATGCCAACCACTACGACTTATCTGTATTCTATACGAATTTCTATTCCTTTTGCACCACTACGACCAGTTTGTATCAAACTACGAATTTCACTGCAATCTAAAAAATTTTTTTTGTCGATTTACTGTCATTTTTGACCCTCAGAATGCAGGAAATTGCATCTCAGAATCAAAATTTTTTTCCAGGGGCATGCCGGACCCCCCTAGCAAACTCGGGTCACTACGTGACCCTCGAACTACTAATTTGATGGCCAGAAACTACAGATTGCTTCAAATATGTGTTAGCCATCTTATGTGTTGGCATCGGTAGAAATCTAATTGTTCCAAATCAGGACTGGCCACATTTTAAAACTCATTTTCAAGTCTGGTCTGAACGTGGGTGTAGCTAGTCAGTAGTCAGCTAACACTAACTCATCCGTGGTGACGGTGACAGTTGACGGCGCATTGCCAGCTAACCGGTGCTGTTGGAGCGTGGAGTGCATGCGTGCGTGTGTGTGTGTGTGTTGAGGTGGGAGGTGGTTTACTAACGTTGGCGAAGGGAAGGCGACCGGTTCTTGCCGTGTTAGATTTTCAGCAGCCGACTCTGCGGTGTAGCAGTGTTGTTAACCGCACCCTCCGTCCCCATCGGTCTGGGATCGGTCACTTTTGAGCGGGACTGGCTGATACAGGCCTTGTCTTCGAAAAAAAATATATGCCGTATTTAAAAAGTAAATGTCTTGCCTTCTAGTAAACTGAAATTGTAAAATTAGTGCAATTACAAGACAATTGCGATCGATTAATAATTAATGGCGAGTCGTCGCATTGATGTGCCGTGTCCGTAAGAAGGACGTCTATTGTTTATACGATCTACTATTTGTTAGTCGTTCAAGTTTTAAC